CGCAGCCAGAGGTTTGCTCGGCGTCAAACACCGGTCCCTGCCTCCTGAAATGGCTGTTACGGAACGGGACAGCAGCGCACAGCCCAAAAAACAACAGTGGTTCTCTCCAGGCCAGGAGTGGCGCTTGCAGCTGGGACGGGAGTCCAGAGTGTTCTCACAGTCTGATCCGAGAGTCCTGCGAGATAACTTTTATCCAGAGGAGCTCAGATCTGCGCCTCTGGGGTCAGGAGGACCCGGAGCAAGCGAACAGCAGCGTGGATCGGCTCGGGCCCGGAGTCAGCTGAACTAAAACGCACAGCCGGAGCCGTGCAATAAGTGATCCCCACTCTCCCACACAGGGCTCCTAACTAAAAGAGAAAACTAAGAGGTGTATCGTTCATCTCTGCAGTTACCACCAGAGGAGCGCGACAGAGAAGTTACTTTATCCCCACTTGTAAAACGGAGTGCTGGAAACAGACAAGTACAGGAGGAGACAGGCGGGAAACCTCGTTACACACACCACTCTGCACCGAAAGCGTGGCCGGGCTTTAAGCTTGGGAAACAGGCACATCACTGCTCACAAACACGGCCGGGAGCTTGTGCCACGAGCCACAGCTGGCTTCCAAACTCTTTATCAGGTACAGTGTTTCAGCGGCCCCACCCCACACCCGGGCAGAGGCTCCGGGAACACACAGACCTCTGTGACATCTCTGAACAAAAAACACGTGCATTCTCATTTAAAAAAAAAAAAAAAAATAAATAGATAATAGGCTGCACTCCACCGGCTACCCTTTAATATCCCCAAAACAGGCTCCTGCCAAGAGGCTCCGCCCTGCTCCTGCTGATTTTAAGGAAGCGAGTCTTGCACAAATCCTGGAAAAGGACTGACCTTGGTGGGAGTTCCTGATCCTCTCAGGAGGGCTCTGCACAGCCCAAGCAGTGTTTTATACCATTGGAGGGCAAAAAAGTCACCAGGGCTGTGTGAGGAGCCAGAACACACCAGTTGTCCCTCAGGTGATGTGTTATTTCACTTTACACTCTGCAGCATTACAAAATGCACCCTGGTGACCAGCGTTTCCCCTTTGCATGCTGTGTAAGAGAATTTTATGTGTAGGTAAAGGTCAGTAAATACTTTTAAATAAGCCAGCAAACAGAAAAAGAAAAAAAAAAAAATCAGGCTGAGTTGAATATGGAAAAGACACTGTGGGGTCCTCACTAAGCAGCAAGATTAGCAGGTGTAATTAACTCAAAGATTAACTGCACTTGAAGAATACGGAAAACTGAAGATGAACTTATGTACCTTAGGAAAAAAAAAATTCTGGAAAAGGTGAAAGGGAGAGCAAAATGGATTTAAAACATGAGCTGGCAGGCTACCTGTTGCCAACAGAAAGCGAGGGGTGCACACCAGAGGGAAAACCCCACCACCTCTGTGCTGCAATCCACAGGTGATCCACAGCACCTGGTCAGACACAGCCCGTGAGTGTCACAGGCAAGGTCTGACCGGCACCACCCTAACTGGGACAGCCCAGGGGGACACAGCCAGGCCTCCTCTGCTCCTGAGCCCCAACACACCTGCAGCCCCACGAGGGCTGGGCAGTTCCCGAACTGGAGCCTCCAGGTCGCTTAGGGGCTGACTTGTCCCTCACCTGTGCTGCTGGACTTCCAGAAAAATTATGCAGGTGCTCGGGAAAAACCCCCCTGCCAGCCAGTTCTCAACAATCCCCCTCTGGCACCTGCTGAAAGGCAGCAGGGAGCCCCGTGCCAGGGAGGGGAAAAAGCTGCCCTGCACTCAACAGGCCTCCTCCCTCAGCGTGGGAGCAGCCAGAGCTGCCTCTGGGAAACCAGAATCACTCCTGGCCAAGGCAGAACTCCCCCTGGGCACAGGTGACACTATTTTCCCAAGCTCCAGGTTTTCCTGAGCACTATCAACACACACTGACTATGGACAATGACTGCACTTTCTTGCCTGAGGGAGGGGAAAAAAAAATTAAAAAAAAAAAAGTCAGACCGAAGAGGTGGACGCAGATCTTTTATTTTCTGAGACAGAGTCGTATTTAGGGACTGATTGCTCTGCCTCTGTGGTCATCCTCAGCCGGGACATGAGATCAGCGCAGTGGGTATTTTTGTTACTCGTCTGCCTAATTAGACTCCTGGCAGAAGGGAGGGAGTGTGTGTGTTCCCAGGGTGCTGGAATCCAGCGATGCAGAACTCCACTGACACACTGCAACAGGCCTCAGACAGAGTCGGGCCTCTCAGGAGGCAAAAACAACTCACAACACTAAATAAATAATCTCCTTCCGTTAAGATCTCACAGAATTTAAATACAATAAAAACCAGGCATAGCAAAAATAGGTGAAAAAAAGGCGTTCTCTGTAAAAACACCACCTCTGTGTGTGTGTGTGTATGTGTGTGTGTGTGTTGGTCTTTATATATTACATGTGCAAGTTCCAAACCAGGTGCAAACGAGGCACAGCCCTTGACCGCAGCCTGAGTACCACAGTTTCCTCCCCACATCGCTGCTTTCTGCGTTTACATCACCAGTCCCCTCGCCCCCACCTCGGGCAAAGCCTTCCCAAGGTTCGCTGTTCTCCGTATTTCATACACGAACGTGACCTCAAAGCCGGAGAAGAGGCTGTAAGCGCCACAGATCGTGCCCAAGGGGGGTAGCTGAGACTATTTTCCCCCCCAGTTTCTGTTTTCAAGCATTTTCCCACTTGAATGAGGGTATGAGAGAGGTGCTTGCCACGGTTAAACCCTGAGCAAGCTTTGCTCCACGGCTTTGGATTCTGCCCTCACGCCCTGCCAGTGCAGCCCTTGCTACACTTATCCATTTATTTACTTCTGTCCTGTTCTGTTTTTGTGCCTGGGTGCAGCAAACTAGGGGACAGCCCGTTATCTTTACATTTCTGTTCCTGGCCTATCGCCGTTCCTGCTGCAAAGAACAAGGCTGGGGGAAGCCACAGCTATCACAGCGTGTCCTTGCCTGCCCAAACAAAGTAACAGAGGGCACTTCAGCCTGATAGCCCACGAAATAAATGAACAGCCTGATGCCAGCACACCCCCTGGCACCTGTAACAAACGTGCAGAGCCATCCACCTACAGGAAAAAAGAGCAGGCACTGCACCTTTTAGAGTCCAGCACTCAAACTGAGCTGAATACGCTGGACTGAGACCACAGGAAACAATCAGCCAAACCTGTGTAGTAAATGTGCCTGTAAATAGCTGCCTGTCAACACTTCTCTGCTTCAGCTTCCTCAGCTGCCTGTGGAGTGTTTGCTCAAAGTGGTGAGCGAGTCCACTTAGAGGAGTTTTCGAGTCAGCAATCCATTAAAACATACATTAAAACATGTTATACTGCTCCTCATATAGGAGTCTTTCTGTGAGAACCAGGGGATGCAAGGGAGAAAAAAAAAAAAATTTGGCTTAGAAGAAACATAACCTTAAAAAAATTAAAAAAAAAACCACAAAGAAAAATCCTTTGGTACCTCACCTTGCAGTCCAGTGCACAAAATCTCACTGCAAAACCTCTAAAAGATCTCTGGTTGTTACTTCAGATGCTGCGTTCACCTGATAAAATTTGTTATGTGACAGCGTGGCTCTGTTTTTAAAAGCTGTTAAGCGATTAACATTGTTTTCCGGGCTTTCCAAGGGTAATTTTAACCGGCTCGCATTTTTCCTGAGGGCGGATTACACACACAGAGCGACGAAAACAAAAAAAAAAAAGTGAAGTTTGCTGCAGATTCCAGACGCGAACGCCGCGCTGCCGCTCGAGGGAACGGAGCGGGCAAGAGTCTGGGCATGGGCACCTCTAAACATCAGACAGAGCCCCCTGGACCGCTAAATTTACCTTGAAGAGCCCAGGGGGTTTTCTGACAAGCGCTCTCCGTTGGTATCACAGCGTGGTAGCGCTGGGGCAGTTAGGAGACCGATTATTAAAGGCAGGAATAAATCACTCGGGGGCACGAGCAGCGATGAGAGGGCCACAGCTCACCGCCAGACGCGTTTGGTTAAAACATCGTTAGCGGAACTCCTCGGTGTGGTGCTGGCTCTGAGCTACAAGTGCAATGCCATCGTCTGAATTCGTTTTGGAGGGCCCTCTCGTTCCTATGGCAGGTCATACGCACAGTTTGATGGGTAAACCGGGGAGGGGGGGGGAGGAGTGGGGGAGAAATCGACACCGAGTGAAAAAAAAAAAACAAAACAAAAAAACAGAGTAAAAGGGGGGAAAAGGAGGAGGGGAGAGGGAAGAGACACCAGAACGAGCGAAAATAAATTACAGGGCTCGAAGATTACGATTTGAATTGGTCTGAGAAAGGGGATCCCTGCAGAGTGGAAGATACCGCCTGAGGAGTGCGGCGCCTCAGTGGACCTTGGACTCGGGCCAGTCGTACACGTCCGGCATGAAGGACTCGTACTCGTAGGTCCACACCTTGGAGCGGATGTAGCGGTTCTTGTCGGCGGGCTCGGGGTAATGGAAGGCCATGTTGTTGGCGTACAAGAACTCCATCACCTGGAAAGGTTTACACCGCCGCTGCAGCCCCGTGCCTGCCACCGCGGCGCGCACGCCCCACAAAGGGGGAACAACACCCTCCTTCTGCGCCTCCCTAGCACCTCAGCAGGCAGCTGGAAACTCAGGGGCTGCAAACTCGAAGGGGGATCGCTCTGGCCCACCGCCAACTGGCCGTCCTACAAACCGAGAGTTTTTTGCGAGCATCTCTTCCTGTGTTTCGTGCCCAAGGGTCACACCGTGCAGCTCAGCAGGTTAATGTACACATAAACCACCCCTACCGCAGCCCGCTTCCATGCTTCGTACTCACCTTGACGGCAATATAAATAGAAACTTCCCTGATATTGGACAGCGGAGGGTAAAGCCTTCCCTGTGCGAGTTCTTCATCGGTCAGCTGCTCTGCCAGCGCCTGGGGTTAGAAGAACAAACCAGTCTCGTTTACTGCATCCCAAATGTGACCAGCAGCATGCTAAAACACCTGGGAGAACACAGCTGCAGTGTTCTTACTGCCCCAAAGGGCTGCTGCCAGAGACACAAGGCTGGGAGGCCATTTACACAGGGACAGAACTCCCACTTAATTATAAGTTGCAATGGAAGCTGAGACTAGTAATTTATTTATTTTTTTTTTAAATTAAAACCCTTTTTTTTTTTTTTTACCACTGTGGAGGGATAAAACCAAGAGAAACCAAAAACAGGAAACCAGAGTTTCATCGAGGCTTGGGAAATACGGCCCATCAAGTCATCCACTGCCATGCCAGGCACGGCCTGCTCTGCCTCCACACTCACCTTGGCAGCCTCCAGGAAAACCTTGTCGCTGATGTGCCGAACGCTGCTGAGGATCACAGCCAGAGCCACGCCTAAAATGAAATCACTGCCATCAGGGCCGCACCGTTTGACAGCATGCAGCAGCTGAGAGTCACCTGGAATGCTGTTTCTGAAAATACTTGCACAGACGTAGCTCCAGGAATTATTATAACTCCCAAGAACTATTAACATAACTTCGAGTGCATACTAACACTTATTCTCCCCTCCCCCCAACAAAAAAAAAAACCAAAACAAGCAGAAGAACCTGTAATGCAGCAGCCTCCAAAGCCTTTAATAACTCTTTTGCTCTCTCAGAAATGCTCAGCTGGGCGAGCTCGCTGTGTCACACACGGAGCTGCACGTGCCTGACATCCCCCCTGAACTCCTTTCCTTTCACTCCTCCACGTCCCCAGCTTTGAATGCCGGCAGCATCTCTCCGTGCCGCTGTGCAAAGAGCCCAGCCTTGAGAGATTCAAAGACAAGGGTTTGTTTTGGTTTTTTTTATTACCTGGGAAGATGTAAGCGTTGTTCCCCTGGCCTGGCTTGAAGGTCCTTCCGTCTTTCAGGGTCACCAGGTCGAAGGGGCTGCCGCTGGCGAACAAGCAGCGTCCCTGTGGGGAGCAGAGGGGCAAGCAGAGTCAGGCAGCTTGCCAGGGAGAGAGAGGTCTGAGAGCAGGAGGCAAGCGCACACCGGGACAGCAGTGACTTGGAGGAACCTCCCAGGCACAGAATATTAACACTCATCTGAGTCTGAGGGGGGGCTACGCCCTCCAAATAAACCACCTCTTCCTCTGAGGCACTGAGGCCCCCGAAAGCAAGGCATCCTGACGCCGAACAAGGGGTTTAACAGCATCAGTGCGGGGCATCTAAGGCTCCCCAGGGCCACCGTGTCTGAGAGCACACTGCCCAGGAAGACAAAAACCTGGGAACTGTGTTGGGGCACACCCGTGGCACTTCCTCCCTCTTTGAGAAGGGAGGACAACGGGTGGGTTTTTAGAGAGCAGGATACACAGGGGCATCCACAGGTGCCACCTAGCGGGAAAGAAAGAATAAAAAATTAAGGAATAAAAGGGTAGTGGTGGTGTGTGTGTTCACATCCTTGCTGAAGGACTTACTTGTTTAGCCTAAGATTTCACACCAGCCAGGGTCAGGCTGTTCCCAAGGCCAGGACAAGCACGGGGTGACAGCCCTGATCCCATAATGGCCTGGCAAATTTGATTAGTTAAGTGACAGAGTAAATAAAGCTGGAGATTTGCGGAGAATCACAGAATAGTTTGGGTTGGAAGGGGCCTCTGGGAGATCATGTTGTCCATTTTCTAGGCAATTAGTGCATCCTGAAGGGGAAAACACATTTTGAAGGGCAAGCTATGGGTAAACTGAGATACATTTCAGAGAACCCAAAAGAACTACGAAAACAAACAGCAGAAGTGGAGGAAAGGTTGAAGAGACAGAAACATTACCAACTCTGTTAATAAGGACTGGAGCCAAATCACTCCTGTTCATTGCCTGACCAGTAACATTTAACTGTCTGTCCAAATAACCCACGTGTATGAATAATAACTTATGGAAAATCATGAATAAAAGAACACGTGGATCAAAAACAGGGATAAAAAAAAAAAAAACCAGCAAAGACATTCTCTCCATTTGGCTCAGACTTTGTCAGTACCACTGTGCTCACACAGTGAAGACACCACCACACCTGAGGCTGACCAGCACTGTCTTGCTTCTGCATCTGACTCAGGTGCAGCTCCCTGGCGCTCAGCACCCAGCCACGGGGAACTGGCGAGCCTCTTCCCCTGGAACACCTATTGCTCTATAAAATATCCTATAAAAAGTGCAAGCAAAAAGGAGGCTGACTCCCCCCCCCCCCAGCCAGAGATGCCAGCAGCTTCTGCATTTATTCATGCCAGATAAAGTCTTGGCTGCACAACCAACTCTTGTTTACTTGCTGTGCAAAGATACTGGAATTTATTTTCATGCACTGAAGCACTGCCCAACTCACTGTTCTGACTAATGCAGCATATCTGAGAGAGATCAAACCATCTCAGTTTGGAAGTGTGTGCAGGGAACGGAGCTGGGAAGGGGCTGGAGCAGCAGGAGCAGCTGAGGGAGCTGGGGGGGCTCATCCTGGAGAAAAGGAGGCTCAGGGGGGACCTTCTGGCTCTGCAACTCCCTGATGGATCCAGGGCTGAACTGGGCTCTGCTCCCAGGGAAAAAGGGACAGAACAAGAGCAGACAGCCCCAAGATGTGCCAAGGGAGGTTTAGATTCGATATTAAGGAAAATTCCTTCACTGAAAGGGTTGTCCAGCCCTGGCACAGCTGCTCAGGGCAGTGGTGGAGTCCTCATCCCTGGCAGGGAGTTAAAAGGGTGTGGCACTCGGGGATGAGGGTGGCCTTGGCAGTGCTGGGGAACAGTTGGACTCTGTGGTATTGGAGTCCTCTTCCAACCTGAAAATTCTATGATTCCACTGTTAGAAGGTCCAGATTTTGTCCAGGGCTCCCTCTGACCTGCAAACCTCCGCAGCAGGAGTTCCCTCCCAGCTGACAGGCCCAGGAACGGGGAAGAGAGTTTGGGTGTCACATGGAATTCTACCCTTCCCGGTGGGAAACTGGCACTGCTGAGGCTGTGGTGCTGGAAACTGAGCCACGCCGACAGGGGAAGGAGGGAGCTCACAGCTCTGCATCAAGACACAGGGAAAGAGCTCCACCCACTGATTTTCACGCATGAGTCACTTGATTTGGGATCGTGTTTAAAAAAAAAAAAAAAAAAGGAATAAATAAAAAAAAAAAAGTCTTTTCAAGAGCCCCAGCCCTGAAGTCTGCAGGCAGGCCCTCTGTCTGCCCGGTGCTCCCACGCCCCACCTGCTTCCCCTCGGGCTCCCTTCAGGGAGGATTCGTTTTACATAAAAAGTCATGCACAGGGATAAAAGACCTCCTTCTTTGAAGGCAAACCCAAGGTCTGGACGCGCTATTAAGATAATAACACGGTTACTAAGAAGAAAACCCCCCCAAAACCTCAGCCTCCAAGCCCCCGGGGTGCAGTGGCTCTGAGGTGAAGGTGCAGAGTGAGGCGTGCCCGTGCTTGGCTGACTCATTTCGGACGGGTGGTGGTGCCAGTGCACAAGACACAGGTGCTGTGGGAGGGGACAGAGGCCACCACCTGCCCTGGGGGGCACAGGGGTCACTGTGAATGGCACAAGCTCTGACCTGCATGACCGAACTCCCGGCCTGGCGCAAGGACATCGCCTGCTTTAAGGACGCTACTCAGCCACTACAGGTCACCCTCTTAAGAAGGCAGCAAAAAAGATTCAGGCTGTTTTAACCCTTGCAAAACAGTCACCTGAAGAATCAGGGCCTCTTTTCAAGCCACCCCCATTCCCTTTGGCGGCCAGGAGGCAAGGAAAGGTCTGCATTGCTACGCCACCGATCCCGAGCAGCAGCCAACCAACCCGAGCTGCTGCTCCTCGCAGCGAGCAAACAGCGCCATCCCCCAGCCCCTGTGACCCCCACACACCTCTGTCAGCGTGTATGCCTCCTCTGCCGTGCACTCGGCCTTCGCCGTGGGGTTGCTCAGCGCGAAAATGATGGGCCGCTCGTTGATGGCAGCCATGGCCTTGAGCACATCGTGGGAGAAGAGCCTGCCGGCCCCTGCGACGCCTGGGGGGGCACACAGAGACACAGTCAGCACCCCAGGGCGGGCGACAGGCAGCTCATCTTACCCCTGGGGTCTCCCACTCAGGGCAGAGCTGCTCCAGCAGCCGGAGGTGGAACCCCGGGCTTCACGGTTTCCACAGGAACAGCTGATCAGCGGGTTCCAAAAGCCTGTTTTGCACGGTCTTTAGTACTGATGTGTGCAAACAGCGCTGTCCTGGGCAAGCAAGGGGGAATTACGGGCTCCCCACGGGTGATTCAGCCTGGCTGGGTGCTAACAAGGCACACCTGACACTGGCGTTTGTGACCACACCCAAACCCAGAGGTGCAGACACACCGGAACGGTGGGTGGGTGTTTGCACAGTGGCTACCAACTTCAGGGTAGCTACCGAGCTAAAAAACACCCTCTCTCTTCCAAATAAACTCCGTGCAAAGGCAATTGCAGTCATACCAGGAAATACCTGTAATCTTATCTGTTTTCTGCAGGCAGCCACAGTTATAAATAAATGCCTACAGGTGCCAGTGACCTGACAGGCATTGGAGATCTGCAGCGAGAAACTGCTCCTTCAAGCCTTTCTGCTGGCAGAGAGGCTGACTGGGGGGGAGGAAGGTCAGAAAAAAAAAGCCCCAGAACAACACAAGTTAGGGAACTGCTGTAAAGCAGCAAGCGTGGTGTTTGTGGCTGCTCTCTGCTACCAAGGTGCAGAGGGAGCACTCGCTCTCCGCTGCACCCGGAGACAACCTGCAGCTCAGCACACGGTCAGGCAGCAAACTGGCCTCGCATTTTCACCTTGTTTGCACCGGCAGAGACGCAGATCGCTGCCACCAACCTGCCTGGAGCCACGCTAGCAGTTTAAAAGGCAGCGAATAACCTAAAGTTACAGAAGCAACAGCGACCTTACTCACCGATGATAGCTGACGGCCGGAGCACGTTCACCGCCTCCACAAATGTCTTTGGTATCTGCTCTGGGGGCCGGTGTGTAAACGGCTCTTGGTTGGAATCCACCTTTTGTTCTCGGCCCTTTAGGTGAAACGTTGGTTACCTTTGTGGGAAGGACACGGGGAAGCCACTGGCCCCCTGCGCCGTGGGTGTTTTCAGACCCTACCTGAACCAGCAGCCCGAACTTGTCGTACATCCATATCCTCCCGTAGGCCTCCTCGGCAGAAACACCGCCTTCCACCATCGCCATGACAATGAGGTTTGCGATCCCCAGCGCAGCCTGGTGGAGAAAAGGATTTCTGACAAGCCGCAAGAGGGGTCTGTCATCACCAACGCACCACCCCTGCTCAAGACCCCCAGGAGGATCCTCCAGCTCTGAGACACGGCCAGTGCTGGCCAAAACGGGGGCAGGCTCCTGGGACAACACTGACACATTTTCAAGCAAAAAAAACCAATCAGTTTTCCTGCTGTGCTCCTGTGCCTCTACCAGCTCAGGAGCCACAACAAAGCAGCCCAGCCAGGCAGTGAGAACGAGTCGGTGCCGCAGCCCTCCTGCCGGGAAACCACGGCGTGGCGTTCTGTGCCCAGCTCCAGGAACTCCAGACTGCCCCTCCGTTCCTGCTGCCCAGGACAAGGGCCTTGCAGAGGGCACAAAGGAGACGCTGAGGGCTGGGAGGAGGAAACTGGCTGGCACTGCCTCCCCCTGCGTCCCTTCTCTCGGCTCGCTGCGCACGCTGCCGAGTCTGGCGGGAGAAGCCAGGCAGAGCTCGGCGCAACACCGGCCAATTACCGCAATCAGGGCCTTCGGCTAATTAAGTTATTCTGTCAGCACCACGGAGGCAATTGTGCTGATGTACCAAGAAGCACAGCCAGCGCTCCTCCTGACGGCGCTGCGCCAGTAAGCGGTGCCTGCTGCAAACACACACTGACTTCGCCTTGCCGAGGAGAGCACTGCGTGCTTCTCTCCCATGTCACTGCAATTAACAAGATGTTCTTAATGAACCATAACTTTATGGTAATTTCCCCTTTAACTACATGCAAGAGCCTGATACTTGATTTTCGAGTCCACGCAAGAAAATTGAAAACTCGAGCCCTTGCAAACGTTAAACTCCTTTCACACCGTCCTGTTCTAAGCAGGTAGTCCCTTCTCCTAATGTACTTCAGCTGGCCTTAATATAAAAAGTTCTGCAGTGAAATTCAGGGAGCCCAAACCTCCACCAGTCCCACAGAATGAGAAAATACACAGCTAAACCTCTCGTGGCTCCACAGCCCTTAGGAGAACTCACCTCTCCTGCCCCAAGGAAGAGCACTTTCTGCTCTGTGAGTGGTTTACCAGTGGCTTTCTGTGCTGCCAGCAGTCCTGCCAAGGCCACTGAAGCTGTCCCTGTAGAAGCAGGACCAACCTGAGGTGAGCTGAACAGATCCATTGGTTTTAGGCAAAAGTTTCCGCATATTCAGTAGGGAACACAGAGGGTATACCTTGGATATCGTCATTGAAGGTACAGTATTTCTCTCTGTATTTTCTTAAAAAGCGGAAAGCATTGTGGTTTCCAAAGTCTTCAAACTGGATAAGTGTGTTCTGGCCATACCTACAGAACATGGCAAATATTCTTATCTTACTCTTGTCACAGGCACAGGAAAAGGAACAACCCATTCAAACCAAATGCTTCACCCAATCAGTTATCTTTGGGAACAGGATGTCCTCAGCCCTCCCCTGCTACAAACAGTCCTGTTTCAGCTCCGTGCCTATTTAACAAATAACCACAAGCAGCGTGTTCTGGGTCACAGAGAAAAATCACTGCAAGGCCGGCAATACAGCCACGTGTTTTCGACTTGTTCCTCTCCTTATTCCTCAAATGGCTGCTTCAAGGGCAGCGTGCTGGGGTCTCTCTGCGCCAGCAGTTCTGGCCACGCTTCCAGAGCAGAAAAACTCGGTGTCCTACCTGTCTGTAATGGCTTCCATGAACTCATCGATCAGGTCGTCGTAGACCTGCGAGCGATCCCTTTTCTGGTACAGGCCCATGTAGAACGGATCTTTCAGGAGTGTCTGAAAGGGAGAACAAACCAGAGGGGGCAGCAGGATGAGTCACTTCCTCAGCACACAGCCCCGCAGGGTTCCCAGGGGCACATTTCACACCGGAGGCACTGCGTTTACACAGCCCCTGTGAGTGCCTCCAGCCCGTGCCAGCGTCCTCTGATTTCAGCTGGCACCGGCGGTGGCTGCTCTCGAAATGGAACAGATCGATACCGCGAACAGTGAAGTGCTTTAATAAGTCTGACTCCCATTTCCAGCCTCTTTAAAGCCAGGTCAAAAGCTGATTGCCTGTTTCACAGCCCACTTCCAGCACTCCAGCTCCTTCCAAACGCACCCTTCTGCGGTGCTCTTCAATCACTGATAACGTAACCGTAGAGTGGGTTCCAAATCACTTACCCTTTACATGAAATACCTGGCTTTGTCTTACATAGAAGTGCTCAAATGAAAACATCCTCCTACAGTACCGAGTGCTCTTAAACAAACACTTTTCACGGGGATAGCTGAAGGCAGGCAAAGTTCAGTGCACCCACCGTGTTGTCAGTCCCAACGTCGATGCACACAGGCAAGCATTTATCCGGATGTATTCCTGCACAGGCTGTATACAAACACAGCTTTCCTACTGGGATTCCCATCCCATACACTCCTAGGTCTCCCAGACCCAATATTCTTTCTCCATCAGTGACGACAACAGCCTGGGGCGGGGGAAACAAAAAACAAAAAGACAGGTGAAATTATTTATCATCACTGAAATTTATAAAGGTCAAATCAACAGCAGCTGTGGTTTTTTTTCCAGGCAAAAACTCAGGTATGTGTGCACAGTCAAACAAAGAACAGATCACAAGGATATTTTACTCAAGGCAACGATGCTCAGTGTTATTGAACCTGCTCTGCTCCTTTTTCTTTGCTCAGATCCTCGTGGAAGGACCCAAGCGAGGGCTACAGCCACGTGGAACTGCAGCCTGCAGAGCCTGGCCTTAGGATTTCCACTTGCAAACCCAGACACCAGTAAGTTTGTAAAGCACAAGGCGAAGCTCACCCCGCCCCGTGGTTCTCGACCCAGCTGGGTGACACAGAGCGGAACAGCAAAATCTGGGCCTGATCTTGAGCAAAAGATCACCCTTCCTACTGCTGAGTGACACAGTTCAGTAAGAACCAGAGGAGCCTCCCCCAGCTTCATGAAGCACAGTAAAAAATTTGGCAAGCCTAGTTCCCACCATCACTTTTTCCTCAAACCAAAAACCCCTCACATTTAGAGTAAAACACTGCTTTTCAAGGTAGGCGTTACCTTCATGAGCTGCATTTTGCCACCATCATCATCAAAGAGCCAAGGCTGCACTATTTAATTATCAACGTTCCCATCAAACACTAATAAATCTTGAAAAGCTCAAACGAGATGAAACAACAGCTAGAAATAAAATTAGGCAGTGGTGGTACCTTAACGTCGTTCTCTGGCCAGTTGTTCACAATCGACCTTATGTGGCCTCTGTCTGAGATGGAAATAAATAATCCTCTGGAAGAAAATTTTAAAAAAACAAAACGAAACAAAGCAAGCAGAAATATTTAATGGGTGAAAATCAGAAATTTCACCTTGCTTTGTAAAACCCAAAAAATGTCAAACAGGACAATTTTTTTTAAAGTTAGAAGTGTCACGATCACTGACATAAATCACCCAAAGGACAAACTTCTAACACAAAAGTCTGCTTGGCTGCTTTGAAACTCCAAAGTAAGAATACTCTCCGTGATGCTACCTGGATTTTTACACCACTAGAGATATTCACCTTTCAGGGTTTATTCACCTGTAAGGCAAAAGAAGCTCTGGTGTTACGTGACAGCATCCTTTACCTTCCCCTGCAGGATATGAGAAGGGAACGTGGTCCTAAGGCTGGCTTTACCTCAGTGAAGAGGCGGGGAGGGACGTGTGTGAGAACTAAGAGACACCTTTCATGTCCCCTGCCCCCAGATTAGGAGAAAACCCATGAGTTCCTCACTGTCTTTACCCCAGCAGCCACATCCTTGTGGCCGTGAAGGATCAGCCCTTTCTCCACAGAGCACCAAAGCCCTGGAGCAAAAGGGCTCCAGAAACACCCTTAGAATTGCAGAGAGAGAGAACTGTGGAAATGAGCTGGAGTGCCTGCCAGTCTGAGCTGGTTTCCTCAACACAGAGCTGGTAACAAACATGAATATTCGTTCTGCAGCCACGGCTGAACCCAAACCAGAGCCCAGCCAAGGGTACTCACTGTGTCAGAGTAACTGACTGCTGGCAGCACAGCAGGCATATGATTAATAAAATCACAACAAAAGCAGCAGCAATGCATACACCTGCACATCTACGTGTGGTTCTTACTTTGGTCTCCTGAAGATGTGCCCGTACTGGGAGCAGGCGAGGCCCACCGTTGGCGTGTACACAATGGGCATCAGCCGCTCAATGTCGTCCTGCAACACCCTGTAGAACAGCTTCTCGTTCCTCTCCTGGATCCCCATGATATAGATATACCTGTAATTCACCGAAACAACCGAAAAACACCGCTTACTGCTCTCGTATTCGGGTTTATTTAAATAAACTACGCGAAAAAAAAAGTGAAAGTAAAAAAAAAAAACAACTTCCCTCATAAAATCCCTGCTCCTACTCAAGTCAGAGCACTAAACAAAAGCTGGGGGGGAAAACAAAAAAAAAAAAGAGAGCAGCAGTCCTAAAAAAACTGAAATAAAAATACTGGATGTGATATACATATATAACCCATGGGTTTATTGCAGGGTGCAGTTGGGAGTCCCGTTACCGTTACAACCAACACTGCCAGGGAAAGAACTTTTCATCCAGAAAACGTTTAAAAGGTCCTGACAAGTAAGGTTCTTGTTAGTTCTAACGCACACCTGAAACAAATTAACTCCTAACAGCAGGTCCACTTCGAAGGACTTACCCGGGTGTGTAAACTAAACCCGAATTTTTGCAGATTTACACAACCAATCCGCTGTGTTATCAATTTATGTTCAGTCCTGCTGACCCAACAGCACAAAGATGATGACTTAGCCATTTGTCTTAGGGGCTACAGCAACTGGGCACTTGGCCAAGGCAGAGGACATGGCTGTTTCAGATCAGCAAGCGACACGATGTGGGTTTAAGAGTCATCTTTCGTGAGAACAAAAGAGCTTTTGGTGTGGCCCAGTGAGCCCCAGACCACTCTGAGTGAGCTCTCCTCTCCCCCCTTTAGGAGACATGCAGATACACACAGGGCTTATACGAGCACGGCAGCAGGATGCTGAAAACAAGCCCTTCTGAAAGTGAAGCAAACCAAAATCCTGAGCATTCTGCTCACCAAACCGGCGGGTAAAACAACAAAAGACACAGGGAAAACAATCCACACGACGAGACTCAAAATTCTAAGCTCGCGATTCCCTTCTAGCGGGAACTACTGAATATGCAAAACACCGGTTTTCATGCCTCAAACCCTCAATTTAACTTCATTATTCACGTTTCTGGTGCTGGCTCCCCTCCCTCCCTCCCCCCAAAAGAGTTCTGCGCCCTGACAACCTGCCACCTAATCTTACACATTACATAATTACACACTGCAGGTCGCAGGGAGGTTTGCGGCCCCGTTAATGATTTGCACGCGTTCCTTCCTGTTATCTCATGGCCACGGAATATCAGAAAAAAAAAAAAAAACCAACAGAAAAGCTCTCCAACCTCACTCAGCCACAGGACAAAAGCAGCTTCCCGTGCTGAAGTGAAAGTTAACGCCCACCAACCGAAAAAAAACCCCAGAAACTCTGGTTATCCCCACACAGTGTTTTCCACATTTCCAAGCCACTTCCACCGGCAACCCCCGTTCCGTCCGCGCCTCCAGCATTCCCTTTTGGCTCGCGTTCCTGAGAGGACAAGGCCGGGGGAGCGCTTACTTCTCCAAGGGGTCGGTCATTTTTGCCAGGTTCTTGTGGAACCGCAAGGCCTGGATGTCCTGTGTCTCTATCTTAGGAGGCAGGAGTCCTTGCAACCCCAGCATCTGCCGCTCGTGCAAGGTAAAGGCCATTCCCTGGAAAAGGAGAGGCGAGAAATGATTAGCACTTCTTCCTAGGGACCCTCTGCTCCCCGCTGCCCACAGAGCCCCTTCAGGGTTGTTGAGCCTGGAGAAGAGGAGGCTCAGGGGTGACCTCGTCACTCTCCACAACTCCCTGAGAGGAGGTTGTAGCCAGGTGGGGGTCGGTCTCTCCTCCCAGGCAATCAGCAGCGGGACAAGAGGGCTGAAGCGCTGCCAGGGGAGGTTTAGGTTGGATTTTAGAAAGAAGTTCTTTACAGAGAGAGCGATCAGGCATTGGAATGGCCTGCCCAGAGAGGTGGTGGATTCACCATCCCTGGAGGTTTTTAAGACGAGGCTGGATGTGGCACTGGGTGCCACAATCAGGTAATCACAGTGGGGTGGGATCAAGGGCTGCATCTCGGAGGTCTCTTCCAACCCAGTTAATTCTGTGATTCGATGATGCTATGATTCTGGTGGCAGGCGCCACAGCAGGCAGGGCCAGGGCGTGTTTGGCTCTTCTGGGGTGCTCCTCACCCTCTGGGGGGGTCCCTTCCGACCAGGCAGCTTTGCCACACCTCGGGTCCTTCGCCAGGGCTCACCTTTCCCCATGAAACCGCAGCACCGCTACGAGGCCCCACTGCAGACGGGCTAAGTGCTCAAAAAAAATGCAGCAACAGCCGCTTTTTCAGTTGTTTCACGGGAACACAACGTGCGGGTCACCCAGTCTGGTCCCTACAACACCTTTAGCCCACAGATTTTTATCTCAATTGCTCCATTTGCTGCTTTCTTGTACGTTCTTTCACTAATACAGACAGATCCCAAAGGTACTGAGTTGCCCCAGTGCTTCTATTAAAGGTCACAGTTCAACCCAAATCCTTTGTTTTTTTTTACTTAGGGATAGAACTAATCTACTTGTCCACCACCAGGAAGCCTCATTCGCAGCAAATTAAGCTTCGGAAGCGTTAAAACCGCAAAAAGTTTCCTGTTCTCCGTTTCAGGGTGGGCGAAGAGTTTTAATTTATGGCTATTTAAATACTTAACTGGAATTATTTAATGACAACATTCAATACAGCCTGCTTTTTTGCTTGGTTGTATGCAGGAGGCTGCAGGGAGGTACCTGGCTGGTGGAGGCTCTTACTGCCGACAAAAAAACCCCACCCCAAAACATCCCCCCCCCAAAAAAAAAGGCTTTTTAAGGTTTGCTTTGCGCCTTGTAATCACATTCCAAGCGATCAGTAAAGTCACAGACTCAGAATAAGCCGAGTTGGAAGGGATCCACAAGGATCTTCCGAGGCCCAACTCCTGAAGGCACAGGAAAAAAAAATTAGTATTTTCCCACTTGATGACAGGACACATAAATTCAGGTTAGAATATAAATATTTTCACCTCAGCTTATTTGAGAACAGACTTTCACAGGCATCTGCAGAAAGCGTGGCCATTAATGAAAAGTCTGTAATTTAGAATATACTCTTAGTGTAATTAATCACGCTTGAGTGCTTTCTAACCAATACAACACTCTTTAGGGGCAAAAATAAAAATCCCATCGTTAAAATAATTACTACTTTTATATAATTATCCTCTCTGCTCATTTAAATCACATTAAATATCAGTTGTTTGGACTACACTGATTTAAGCAGTCCACCTGCTCCTCTGTAATAATTCTACACTGTGCCCTAAAGCAACAAAATTCCTGAAGAATTAGAAAGCAAGAAACAAGAAAAAAAGAACAAACCTCCCAAAACTCCCGTGTTTTGCAAAAAGCACTTACAAATACTTTCTTGCAGAAAACTCCTAAGTGTTTAACCCTAAAATAAATTTGGGGGGTTGCTGCATTTATCTGTATTTCTGCCGACCTTCCAGGTAACAGATTTGACACCCAATACTGAATTCAACTTATCCTTTTTTCTACTGGGTCAGTATCCTTCCTCTACCAGTAGTTACAAGTCATTTGCAAACCACTGCTTTTCTTCCAATACTAAATATAAATAAATTTCAGGTGATGGTTCACTCCTGAACTTTTTCATCTTTCCGGTGGTTTATTGGTTGTGGGTTTTTTTTGGCTGGGTGTGCCAGTCACTTTTGGCCACTTCAATGATATTTATTTCAGAAAACTGACTTGAATAACCCAGCGTTTCCGCTGAGAACACAACCACGTAAACAGCACTGGCATGAGAAAAAAAAACACAAAAACAAACACAAACCGAATGCCTTTTTTTTTTAAAATATATATTGCAAAGGATCCTTTTTAGTTTTACTTCTGCATCTGTTACAAGAAATGCTTACAACAACAGCAAGCACAGTGAATTTTTTAGGTGGTAGTAAGTACTTCCAGCCGTTTATTTACGTGACAATCACGTCTCACCACATTAAGGGACGCTTTAATTTCTGCCCGGACCTAACCCGGGAATCAGAGTGGCACCACAGGAAAAATTCAATCCTTGTCCCAAGTTGGGACAGAACATCAGTCCAGGGCAACAGCACTTGGGGTGTTCCATTCCATTCCACTCATCACCTTTAGCCGTGACCATCAGCTCCCTCCTGTTCTGGATTTGAACCAGGCCCAGCAAATCAGGAGGCAGCGGTGGGACTCGCGTTCTCAAAGGCCTTTAAAACCCCCAGGACTCACTTAAGGGCCAAATTTCCTCCGGCTTTCCCTGGGATTACATGCCTGAATGCTGTAAGTGGTTCGGATTCAAGTCACAGGATCCCTTTTCGGTTTCCCCCTGACCCCACAGCGCCGGGTGCCCTCTCGCTGAGCGCTGTGTGCCGACTTTCACTTAAGATTAGTTTCTCCTTAATCCTCTTTAGAGCTCAGAACAAACAGGTGTCCCTTCTAAGGCGGCACAGACAAAGCAAGGAGGGCATCCAGGAGGAAACCCAGCACCACAGATGAATTAATTCCTGCACACGGGCAAACTTTACTGCAACAAAAACAATGTTCTGCTGGGGTGGAGGGGAGGATGGGGAGGGGAAAAAGCCAAGTGTTGACAGTGTTTCGGTTAAGAGGAGCTCACGCTCGCACCAGCAAGAACTCTCTGGCACTGGGACCTCACAGCAACTGGGCTCTATCACACAAAGCCAGCGCTGCTATAAATACCAGCACGTACAAATTCCAGCTGCCCGCTTCGCGTCAAGGTAAACAGGAGGTTTGAAACCTTTAAGCGTGATATTTTTTTTTAATAGCACCCCTAAGTTATTCTGAGAGGTTCCTGAGCAGAGAAGCTACCAGGGGTGGTAATTCTTTTCCCCACCTGCAAAATCTTGCGGGCACATAAAACAGGGGGGGATACTTTTAACTCTCATGTAACAAAAGTCCCATTAGGGGCCTGATCCCATTCATTTAAACCTGATACAGGTTTGAACAAAGAAAATGCCTAAAAACGCTACTGTTCGGAAAATAAATTGGCCTCATTCACAGGGAAGAATTAACAAATGGTTTCCATGTGACTCCTGATGGTTCTCAGAACACACTCAGCAGGGTATCACGGCCCGTGAAGCAGCATCCTAGACATTTTGAAAATAAAGTATATTTTACTTCGGACTGTGGGCTGCTTCTCTTGACTTTGCTCCCTTTTCCTAAATCGCAAAGTTCACTATTGCTCAAGATGCCTCCACTGATAACTAATAAAGATCGTTCATAAGAATCAAAGGTGTCTTTGTTATCTCGACCACAGATTCAAAGTTTCTCTGCGTTTATGAGGGCAGGGTCAGAACAGGGGGATCTCCTCTGATTTCCTTCCTCCTTCACTTCTTAAACCCTATTTCATATCTTTATTCTCCCAGGAACAGCTGCAGGGTGTGGCTGACACAGCACAGCAGTTTTACTCCCTGCTGAACTGTGAAACAACCTGGACCTTCACCGTGTTATTCACCCTTTGGACACCTCCATCTCTCTGCAGGCAAAGATGCCCTCAGCTCTTGCACCCCCTCTGTACGTGTGGAACCAGATGCAAATCACTGTGGCTGCTCCCCATCTCCCAGCCAGCTGGGCAGGACACAGCACTGGTGGTGGGACTTTTGGGGCTCTGTGTGTGTGTGTTTCTCTCAGTTTCCTGCCTTCCAGGACCTCACTTCTTGCTAGGGACATTTCAGGCACTGCATTCCTCAGCCACGAGGCCACCACCCCGTGCACTGACATCTCCACGTCCTGTTTATCCCCATTTCCCCAGGAAGGCACACGGGCACTGTGCATTCCACACCCTGCCTGCTCGACCCAGCTGACCCAACAGCCCGAATCTAAAAAGGCATTACAGTAAATCAAACGTGTCAGGAACCAGCACGGTGAGAAAGGGCAGCAGAAGGGGGAGAGAACATCTGCTTTTTAGAACATCTTCGAGTTCACACAGTCTTTTCTTCACGTTCCCTTGTCCTGTCCCATTTGTTTCGCCCAGATAGCTTTGACTTCGTGTTGAGGGGTTTTTTTATGCTGTTTTGTCTTTTATTTCAAACTGGAAACACACAGAGTGCTTCCCAGAAGCCAGTGAGGTCACGTACGAGTTTGTTAAGGAAATGGATTCTTTATACAGAGCTAAAATCCATCACAGTTTCTGGAGGTATTTGGTAAGGCACGGATGAAAACAAATCGGGCTGAAAAACTTGGGAGTGAATACAGACAAAACCGTGATTAATTTAATGCGATTAATTTAACTGCTAGCAATTCAACGGCTGGGCAAAATACAACACGTGAGAAGACGACCACCCACATGGAAGGCAGACGCTAGGAAAGTTCCTTGGGATCAGCCTGGGATTCATTTACCACCTGCGAGCCCCCTCCTTTAAAATGCCTCGTGCATTTCCATGCACGTGTGCCCGGGCACATGCACACACACAAACACGTGTGGATGTGTGTTTTTGATGCCCTAAAGACACCTGCCGAAGCTAAAAATTTGAGAGTCAGCACAGGAGAACAGTGATTAACGAGTTCAATAAAAGAAGGAACGGACATCACCAAAGTCAGGGGTCGTGGACTCGCAGATCATCTGTTCTGCGCTGGAAGAAGAAATCCTGGCCCATCCGAAGCATCCCCACAATGCAATAAAAATTTAATTGCCAGCACTAAACAAACGAGGTTGCCCTGACGGCGTTCTGAACGCTCAACAGGCTTAAAACGCTGCCTTGGCACTGCGGGGATCTCCAGCAGAACAGAAGGTCCTGAAGCCAATTAACTGCAACCTGAACCCCTGCCAGAGAGCAGAAATCAAAGCATCACGGGAGACTGTAAGCAGGCAGGGATGCCAGCAGAAGTTACAGTAGATTTTGCAACTGGTGAGAGGCTCGAGACCTCTTCTGAGCCACCCCGACAGCAGACACGTGAGAACCGGCCTTCCAGCACAAACCCCCAGCCCGGCCGGCCGAGGAGCGCCCACCTGCAAAAGGCAGGTAAGGACGGGCAAGAAAAGTAATAAAAAAGAAGAATGAGGGGAGAAAAACTCGCTCCAGTGGCAAGGAGCAAGATTAGTCTGCGGGAGGGGAAGGGCTGGCTCCTGCCAGCGCTGCTGCCACCTCGCAGCCCCTGCTCCGGGGCTCACACGGGAATCAGGGGAGACCAAACGTGCTGGGGAGCTGACAGAGCACTGTAAAAACGAAACACGGGCGGACAAAACACGAGTCATGAACGATGATCTCAACAACCTGCCAGCAAGAGATGTCTGTGCCTGTATACAGATTTTATTTATATATATATATATGTGCCCGTTAGGCACCTGTGGGCAAGAACAGCACAGGGGGTGAAGTACCTGCTGGGTTTAATAAATCATTTATTTCTCTGCTGAACATCCAAAATGCATTTCTGTGCAGATACTGCACCCAGCATCAAGCAGCATCACTTAATGGAGCTTACAGATGCATTCCAGCAGGCATCAGCAGTAAAGACAGGCTGGTACAACAGAGCCAAACTAATGCAGAATGGATTTTCCCCTCACGAGTATAAATCCTTGGAGACAACAAAAAAATTTCAAAAATCAATTGTTATTAGCAAGAAGCTCTCTGCTCTTCCCTCCTCCCCCACCAAAAGAAAAAAAAAAAAAAATTACATAAAATATATTGCATTGTGCTCAGTCCACCAGAGAATTCCAGGGTTATAAAAAATAAAAACATGGAAGGATATTGCCACTAAATAAACAGTAAGAAATGAGCTATTGTTTTTGTTTCTGAATACTGTTGCATAATCGTCATCGTTTGGAAAAGCTTTCAGGGGTTGAAGTAATTTCCACTGGCATGTCAAAGTGTTTGTAGCTCAGAAAGACTCGAGATAATCTGATCGTGACAAATCACAACAACCTACTCTTTTCTCCTTCCCTGACACAGCAATCCCAATTTCACTTTTCCCGTCAGCCAGCCTCTAACTTGCAGAGTTCTCTCTCTCTCTCTCTTTAGGCAGCCTGGATCCTCCAGGCAGGATTGAGGCTGCACTTCACTACCCAGGGGAGAAAAGGGAAGGGTGTAAAAGAGAAAAGGGGGGAAAGGGAGAAGGGGGGGAAAGTTCTGCTGTGCAGAGGAAGGAGCCCAGAGCTTCTACAGCTCCATTGCTCAGGAAATGCCCTCTCAGAGGCAGGTAGATTTGTCACCTCTCCTGACCCCTTTAGACACCTGGGATCAGCTACTGAAACCCCCTCACCTGATTTCTTATCGCTTTTAATTAGCACATTAACGGTTTCAAGATTCCTGAAGGCCACTGCTACTACCACAGGGAAAAAAAAAAAAAAGGAGATTGGGGATGGGCTTGTGGGAATAGGAGAATTTTTGTGAAGGGTTAAAAAAAAAAAAAAAAAAAGCTGCTTTCTTAGAAGTTCATCCCAATGCATGGAATTAACATGATATCTCCACCTCCCAGTTAGCCCCATTGAAGGTTTATTTTTAGATGCTCAGTCAGGCCCTGCACAGGGATGTTCCTTAGTGATATGGCTCCGTCCTAGCCCCTAGTCTCCCAGGAAAAAGGCCAGGACTAGGGCAGAGAGGCTAACACTTTCTACCACCAGCAAGACCGAGCTCAGCACCAACTTCTGCAAACCACGAAGTAAAGACTGCCTGTCCGCCAAAGCCTGACTTCAATTCAACCAGGCCAAAGGCACAAGCCAGCAGCCAGCAAGCACCAGCAACCCTTCAGGTGGCAGAGGGAAGGAGAGTGCTGGCTGTGCCAGACACGGCACACCAGGGGAAGCAGAAGCAGAAGGGCCACTGGGAGTCCTTGCACTGCAGGTGCAGCAAACTCGAAACGATCACCAGCTCCTCCACCCTCTGCACCTTTCCCTGCTCTGGCTGTGCCCCCAGAGCCCTGACCCTGGGACAAGGTTTATTGGGCTACGAGCAGGCGAAAGACGGGACACTGAGAACGGCAGGCCACCGGAACAGACCTTGTTTGTCCGCGGGTTCAGCATCAGCGGCTTGCCCTTCTCCTTCGTGTGGATGCGGCGGCGCGCCACGGCGCACGGGGCGGCGGCTGCCCTCAGTCGGGAGAACATCCTCTGCTCCTGGGGTGCTGCACCTGGGGGCAGGGAAACACAGCACAGGTCACACGGAGGCGGCGGAACCGGCGCTCGCAGGCCCGTCCGATGGGGAGGAAACCGGCAGGCGCTAAACGAGACCCCTCGGCAACGGCCCCGCGCGGAAAGAGGGAAGGTTTTGGAGCGGTGAGAGCGCACACAGGGATACTGACAGGAGCTAGCACGGTGCTGGGGGCAGCAGCCAGCCGGGCAGCGCTCGCCGGGTGTTGCCTTACACCACGAAGCCGGGGCAGGACTGCCCCGCAGCAAATACCAGCCGCCCGTGGTGACCCGTGGAACTGGCACCGCCGCAAATGCCAGGGAGGACACAGCAGCTTGGGAGAGGGCAGCCTGAACGTTCAGCCTCGGCTGATGTCCCTGACATCAAAATCTCGCGGCCTGGGCAACAGGAAGGACAGAAACTATGCCTAGAATATATGTCTTTTTCAACAAAGGGTATGTCTCCCTAATAAAATAAATAAAAAATTTGTCAGAACCACTCAAAAGCTTAGTTCTAGTCTTGCCAGGCTATAGCGGCTCTTGAACCCACTTGATTCACCCACTCGCCGCAAACTCTTTGGGATGGAAATTATCAGTTATTACACACTTTTATAACTCACTGCCACCGGGTAGAGTGAACTGGAACTCGTCTCTCAAAGATTATTTCACCAGGACAGAGAGACAACAGCAACCACAGGGCCATGGCCTGCACAAAGACACACTAGGAGGCCAGAAAGCACAGCAAAGAACCAGGACCAGGGCAGCTGGTGCCCCATCCAAGACACAGGCAAGGACAGCAAAGCAGGTTACGAGACACTTTTAAGGAACGAAATGATGCATGGTTTGGATTTTTAATTTCTTCCAGATGGGAGACAAAATTGGATTAAGGAACAAAACTTCATTATCTTAAATACAGCCTGAATACTTTAGAAGACCTTTCTATAATCAAATTTACACATAATCAGCTTTTAAGAGGGCAGACTGGTCTTACAAGTTACAGTCTGAGGATTTTCTCAGAAATCTTTCCAAGTATTAAAAAAAATATGCAAACGTTTAATATTTTCGTCATCAGGTACCCTCGAGTTCCTCCTCCACCCGTTAGAAAGAAGCAGCTCCGACATTCAGCAGCAGCCCTTTCCATCACCCTGTGTCTGTTTGTTTAGGCTGTGCTCAAAACCCCTGCGTTCAGTTGTTTTGTGGTAAGGACCATAAATTTACTGTGCCTTGCCAGCACTAAAAAACAACTGCTGCCTTTCATGTGGTCCCTCCTCCCCAAACCAGCCAAACAGTGGACTAAGCACAGCTGGTCTGGCAGGACTCAGGGCCAGCTGAAAACCGGGATCAGATAAGGGAAATTAATTTTTGTGCTGCAAAACAACCAGCCTTCAGGAACAACAAACTCAGTTTCGGCTGGTTTTAGTTCTGGTTGCTCATTTGCCATCGTTACACGGTCGTGGGTCCGTCTCCTCGTGCACACGTGGCTAAAAATGGTCTGTGGCTCCAGAGCCACAGCAAACCCCCAACCCACAGCCCCCTCAGCCTGGTGCCAGCGTGGCTTCAGTCAGCGAGCAAACACCTTAAACAAGGAATTAAAAAGCAGGACAAACACCACACCTTATCTCACCCCAATTAAATCTAAATTACTTCACTGCAATTAATGAGCGTTTAAGAACCAAACAAGATTGCGGCCCAGATTTCTCCTACCTTGACCAATTAACTCTCTAATCAGCAAGACAGAGAGGAAAAGACTTCAGGGCTGTGATACAAAGCTGACTTTCTTCTCTGCTGTCTGAGGGAGGAGACTTGATCCTTTCCGAGGTGTCACACCAGCACCTAAAATGATTCTCCTGGTGGAGGTATCTCGGATTCATAGAGCAAGTGGGAGAATCAAGTTTCATTTTCCACTTAGTCCCTCTGTTTAGATCCAAGAGACACGATCCCAGCTGATTTCTATGGAGTATTAAACCTGACTGGTCACTCTCCTTTCCCGGCTCTTCTGATCACCCCATATTTCTGTTTCATCTCCCACCTTGCACATCTCCTCCAACTCCTTTTGCCAAAGACTCTTAAAACTGGTTTGTTTTTTTTTTCAAGAACCTGCCTCCAAAACTCACCTTAACAAGCCAGACCCTGAAACCAGACGCAAGCAATCCCTCCCCATCCTCTGTCCATGCTCCTGTGTAGGAGTGCCAGGAGCTTTGCCTGCATGACCATGGCCCTCCGTGACACTCCCAGGGATCCAGAGGCAGCCACAGCTTCTCTGGGCAACCTGTGCCAGGGCCTGCCCACCCTCACAGACAGCAATTCCTTCCCAATATCCCATATAAACCACTGGGAAGCCATTCCCTGTGTCCTGTCCCTCCATCCTTTGTCCCCAGTCCCTCTCCAGCTCTCCTGGAGCCCCTTTAGGCCCTGCAAGGGGCTCTCAGGTCTCCCTGGAGCCTTCTCTTCTCCAGGTGAACCCCCCCAGCTCTCCCAGCCTGGCTCAGAGCAGAGGGGCTCCAGCCCTGGCAGCATCTCCGTGGGGGAAGGACATCAGTTGAGGGACACAGGGGGCTTGCAGCGATGTGAAAACGCGCCCAGGGGACTGAGGTTGTGCAATGGCCCCGTGAGGAGGAACGGGGGGAGAAAGCAGCGGAACTGAAAGGGGAGTGAAATTCCTGCACAGAAGATGTGTCAGCACAACCAGAACAAGGACCTCTCCTCTCCCCTCAGCGCTTGGCAAGACCGTGGCGCACCTCTACCCTGGATCCACCACAACTGGTTATTTCTGACTGACTTCTGTGCACGCGCTGCGTCACAGCCCGAGGGAACCAAACTCCCCTGCGTATCGGATCACAGCCCTCTGCTGTGCCTTATCGGGAGGCATCTGCTCCAGGTCAAACTAATTACCAATACGCACAAGTGCCCTTATCTGGGAGCAATTATGGATTCGTTAAACTGCAAAAGCTGCTTCTGAGGGGAAGGTTCACCCTGTTCTTCAGGGGTCCAATTACGTGGCTCAGAGAGCCGGGAAGCCCAGTGTCAATTAAAGCAAGGCCTGCTTCAATTACTGCACGGGCTGCCTGACCTGTGGATCCTACCTGACTGCTCAGGGTCCCTCCCAGAGGACAGCAGCCCGTGCTGGACGACTGTGCAGCCCTCCTTCGGTTTGAATTTGTGTTCGAGGCCAACACAAAATGCACCTCAAGCGTTCCTGAAATCCCGCGTCAGTAAAGAGCGCCAGCCCTTCTTTCATGTACAGGAATTAACAAGGCCCGTGGGCCACCAGGAGCTTTTTTTTTTTTTTTTTTTTGGAAGTTATTAACACAAGGCCACAGAGGCCCCACAGAGCTTCCAACCCTTCAGGCCTCCATGGGTTTCGGGGTTTTTTTTAAGCCAACAGCAAGCAGACAAGCCTTGCCTACCCGAGCATGACACAAACCAGGCACACACCGGCTGGCTTCATCACCTCGGCAATGATAAAGCACTCTAAAATTATTGCATTATAAACGACTATAAACGTGTGTCCCCCACGGGACTTTCACTTGAAGCAGCTTTTCCTGCACCCGTCAGCAGGTCAAGGGGACACCTCTGTTTTGTAACAGGGGCATCCCAGGAGGAAGGAGCAGAGGGACAAGGACGGTCCTGTGCAGCAGCTCAAGCACCTCTGGCTCCCTGAGCTGACCAGATGCTGCTGCTGAGCGAAGTTTTCAGGCTCTCTCCAGCAAAGTCCCGTGCAATCACTTTTAAAGGACGCTCCTAAGGCACCTTGAGATCTGCAGATTAAAAGGAGCAGTCATAAAGGGGGAGGAGAGGCTAATAAACTGCTCAGCAGCGGTAAGTGGGTTATTTTGGAAGCAGATCTTTAACAAACTCAAATTACTTCTCTTCCCTTTCGTTCTAAAGGCAACCAACCAGTTCAACCAGGAGAAAGAGTCAGATGTGGAGCACTTAAGTTCACAACTTGAGGCTTGAAACCATTCAGCAAACAAAGCACACTTAGGTGAATTCAAAGGAAAACAATTTCAGAGCACCTTCCTAAAAAGAGTTTATGTGAATTACTCTACCTGACAGTGTCAGGAAACCTCTTAGCACAAGCAGAAAGTAGGGGCTGAATTATCTGTTACTGAAGCCTGGGCTCACAGCAGAACCAAACCACGTCAAAGAGCTGTATTTTTATACATTAATGGACCTGACCTAAACATCCTGATTCTTAAGAATCAGAAAGTCCGTTGCCTTTCACCGTGGAAACTGCAGCAGCAGCAGCATTTTTGGCCCAGTCTGACAAGAAGATGTATTCACATCCTTGACTCTGCTCCACTTGTGTAACTGGGAGGGCTGCTGGTAGTAAAGGTGAGGACACCAACATGTGCAGGACAAAGGCCTCATCCCGAAAAACCCTCGGAAATACTGCAGGAACAAACAGAAAGCTACCGGTGCTTTATTCTGGGGAACTGGTACATCCCTGTGCTAGAGCTGTTCAGCTCAGAAACACGGATTTTTATTTTTTTTTTGGATACAAGTTGAGAGAGATGGACAAGGGTGTTCTCAACAACAGCTGCACTTACAAAAGGGAGTTCTTCCCAGAAGGACAACTAAGCAGAAAGCACAAAGAAACTGAGCTGCCTGCTAATTCAGTGACAATCAGGCGAACTACAAGCCTGCCAACCACCTAGAAATGTCAGTTTGGGACCTAGAAATACCAGCTGGGACTTAAAAAAAGAAAAAAAACCCCGCTTAAATTACGGAGAAACCTGAAAAACTATCCAGCCACAGCAAAACTGCTCCTTCTGCTGAAATGGAGGTGCTGGCACCGCTAGTAAAGATGAAAATTCAATCAGTACTCACTCAAGCTCTGCGCGCTACCACGCACTTTGACAGCTTCTTTCTTAGTTTGCAGAAGGAAAAAAGCTCCCAAATCTTGCCTGCCTGCACTCACCCTGCTGACTCACAAGCCACACACCGCGCGGGCCCATCGGAACTTTCGTCCTGCGGCTGCGACGCGCAAAATTCTCCTGAAATAGCGAGCCCGGGCTAAATTTTTGCAGGGTCTTACCGCGCCTAGCGGCGCGCACACGGGGCACCTGCAGAGCTCCGTGTGCTGCCCCCATGGAAACGCGTGCTCACAGGAAACCTCCCTCCTGCTGGCCGGCACTCTGGTGGGATCAGGGACGCCAGGGCGCTGAGTAATCGATATTTGGTGGGGTTTGGGCCGGTTTGGATGGCGAGAGGGTCCTTTCTCGCCACCCCTTTCTCACCGACGCGCTGTACAGTTTTGCGTTGTTTGGGGTTCTTTTTCCTGTCAGCCGAGGGATCCCCGCCACGGCACCGCGGCCCAGGTGCCTCACGCAGCACTTGGTGAGCGGGGTTTTTGGTAAGGTTTCGGCGCAGCGAGGCCACGAGGTGCCGGGGCGGGCGGCGTGCGCAGCCACGGCCGCCCCTGGGGAAGGAGCAGCCTCGGGCGGGGGGAGAGGCCAAACCCAAACGCCGGCTCTGAAAATACCAGGCGGCGTTTCCTCCTCCCAGGCCGCACCAGCTGCCCTGCCCCTGCCCAACTTTCGCCGTGCAGGGCCGCGGGACACGCCGTGCCCCCCCGGCCCGGGGCAGCCCCCGGCGGCTCGGCTGGGGTTGTCACCGCTCCCACAGGGGTAAACACGGCCGGGGCCGGGGCCCCGCACCTGCCGCCGGGCCCAGGGCTGCCCCCGCCGCAGGCCGAGCCTCGGCGCCTCGCCCCCACAGTGCTGCTGGCCTCGGCACGACCCCCGCGGGCCCCGGGGGGGGCACACGGAGCATCCCGGGCGGCTCCATCCCCTCCCCGCGCCCGGGCGGCCTCCGGCGCCTCGGGACGCCCTCCAGACACGGGTTTGTAAGGACACAGAGGCCTGCGGTGCGCCGCCGCAGCCGTGAAAGTGTTACCAGAACGGGGTCTACCTCGTCCTCCTTGCGGCTGCTGCCCGCTGAGCGATGCCGGCCGGCGACCTGTTCCTATCGAGAACAGCCGGAGCTGCGCCCGCCGCGGGACCCGCCACTGAATGGAGCCAACACGGAGGCGCCGCGGAGGGACACCCCGGGGGGCGGGGCTGGCTTCTGACTGACAACGGGCGCACCCAATCGGAAGGAAGGAGGCTCGCCGGCGGAGGTACCGCTCGACCAATGAGCGCTCTTTCCCGCCCCCACGGAGGGGAAACGGGGCCATGCGGGGGGCGTGGCCTGACGTATGTTAATAAGGTAAGGGATACAGCCAATCAGCGCGGGGGGGCGGGGCGAGAGGGGGTGATGGGCGGGGCTTCGGCAGGGGGAGGGGCTGGGAATGAGGAATGGGAATGAGGGAATGGAGGCATGGGAATGTGGGAATGGGAATGAGGGAATGGGAATGAGGGAATGGGAATGTGGGGATGGGAATGTGGGGATGGGAATGTGGGAATGGGAATGTGGGGATGGGAATGTGGGAATGGGAATGAGGGGATGGGAATGTGGGGATGGGAATGTGGGGATGGGAATGTGGGAATGGGAATGTGGGGATGGGAATGTGGGAATGGGAATGAGGGGATGGGAATGAGGGAATGGGAATGTGGGAATGGGAATGAGGGAATGGGAATGAGGGAATGGGAATGTGGGGATGGGAATGTGGGGATGGGAATGTGGGGATGGGAATGTGGGAATGGGAATGAGGGGATGGGAATGTGGGGATGGGAATGTGGGGATGGGAATGTGGGAATGGGAATGTGGGGATGGGAATGTGGGAATGGGAATGAGGGGATGGGAATGAGGGAATGGGAATGTGGGAATGGGAATGAGGGAATGGGAATGTGGGGATGGGAATGTGGGGATGGGAATGTGGGAATGGGAATGTGGGGATGGGAATGTGGGAATGGGAATGAGGGATGGGAATGAGGAATGGGAATGTGGAATGGGAATGAGGGAATGGGAATGAGGGAATGGGAATGTGGGGATGGGAATGTGGGGATGGGAATGTGGGAATGGGAATGTGGGGATGGGAATGTGGGAATGGGAATGTGGGGATGGGAATGTGGGGATGGGAATGTGGGGATGGGAATGAGGGGATGGGAATGTGGGGATGGGAATATGAAGGGATGGGAATGTGGGGATGGGAATGTGGGGATGGGAATGTGGGGATGGGAATGAGGGATGGAATGTGGGGATGGGAATATGAAGGGATGGGAATGTGGGGATGGGAATGTGGGGATGGGAATGAGGGGATGGGAATGTGGGGATGGGAATGAGGGAATGGGAATGTGGGAATGGGAATGAGGGGATGGGAATGTGGGGATGGGAATATGAAGGGATGGGAATGTGGGGATGGGAATGTGGGGATGGGAATGAGGGGATGGGAATGTGGGGATGGGAATGTGGGGATGGGAATGAGGGAATGGGAATGTGGGAATGGGAATGTGGGGATGGGAATGAGGGAATGGGAATGAGGGAATGGGAATGTGGGAATGGGAATGAGGGATGGAATGGGGCATGGGAATGTGGGGATGGGAATGTGGGGATGGGAATGTGGGGATGGGAATGAGGGATGGGAATGTGGGGATGGGAATGTGGGGATGGGAATGTGGGAATGGGAATGAGGGGATGGGAATGTGGGAATGGGAATGAGGGGATGGGAATGAGGGGATGGGAATGAGGGAATGGGAATGAGGGGATGGGAATGAGGGGATGGGAATGTGGGGATGGGAATGTGGGGATGGGAATGAGGGGATGGGAATGTGGGGATGGGAATGTGGGGATGGGAATGTGGGAATGGGAATGAGGGGATGGGAATGTGGGAATGGGAATGAGGGGATGGGAATGAGGGGATGGGAATGAGGGAATGGGAATGAGGGAATGGGAATGTGGGGATGGGAATGTGGGGATGGGAATGTGGGGATGGGAATGTGGGAATGGGAATGAGGGGATGGGAATGTGGGGATGGGAATGTGGGAATGGGAATGAGGGGATGGGAATGTGGGAATGGGAATGAGGGGATGGGAATGTGGGAATGGGAATGAGGGGCTGGGAATGTGGGAATGGGAATGTGGGAATGGGAATGTGGGGATGGGAATGTGGGAATGGGAATGTGGGGATGGGAATGAGGAATGGGAATGAGGAATGGGAATGTGGGGATGGGAATGAGGAATGGGAATGTGGGGATGGGAATGTGAGGGGATGGGAATGAGGAAAGGGAATGTGGGGATGGGAATGTGGGGATGGGAATGTGGGGATGGGAATGTGGGAATGGGAATGAGGGGCTGGGAATGTGGGAATGGGAATGAGGGGATGGGAATGAGGGGATGGGAATGAGGGAATGGGAATGAGGGGATGGGAATGAGGGGATGGGAATGTGGGGATGGGAATGTGGGGATGGGAATGAGGGGATGGGAATGTGGGGATGGGAATGTGGGGATGGGAATGTGGGAATGGGAATGAGGGGATGGGAATGTGGGAATGGGAATGAGGGGATGGGAATGAGGGGATGGGAATGAGGGAATGGGAATGAGGGAATGGGAATGTGGGGATGGGAATGTGGGGATGGGAATGTGGGGATGGGAATGTGGGAATGGGAATGAGGGGATGGGAATGTGGGGATGGGAATGTGGGAATGGGAATGAGGGATGGGAATGTGGGAATGGGAATGAGGGCTGGGAATGTGGGAATGGGAATGTGGGAATGGGAATGTGGGGATGGGAATGTGGGAATGGGAATGTGGGGATGGGAATGAGGAATGGGAATGAGGAATGGGAATGTGGGGATGGGGATGAGGAATGGGAATGTGGGGATGGGAATGTGAGGGGATGGGAATGAGGAAAGGGAATGTGGGGATGGGAATGTGGGGATGGGAATGTGGGGATGGGAATGTGGGAATGGGAATGAGGGGCTGGGAATGTGGGAATGGGAATGAGGGGATGGGAATGAGGGGATGGGAATGAGGGAATGGGAATGAGGGGATGGGAATGAGGGGATGGGAATGTGGGGATGGGAATGTGGGGATGGGAATGAGGAATGGGAATGTGGGAATGAGGGGATGGGAATGTGGGGATGGGAATGTGGGAATGGGAATGTGGGGACGGGAATGTGGGAATGGGAATGTGAGGGGATGGGAATGTGGGGATGGGAATGTGGGGATGGGAATGAGGAATGGGAATGTGGGGATGGGAATGTGGGGATGGGAATGAGGGGATGGGAATGAGGGGATGGGAATGTGAGGGGATGGGAATGAGGGGATGGGAATGAGGGGATGGGAATGTGGGAATGGGAATGTGGGGATGGGAATGTGGGAATGGATGGGAATGTGGGAATGGGAATGAGGGGATGGGAATGAGGGGATGGGAATGTGGGAATGGGAATGTGGGAATGGGAATGAGGGGATGGGAATGTGAGGGAATGGGAATGTGGGGATGGGAATGTGGGGATGGGAATGTGGGGATGGGAATGTGGGCATGGGAATGAGGGGCTGGGAATGAGGAATGGGAATGTGGGGATGGGAATGTGGGAATGGGAATGAGGGGATGGGAATGAGGGGATGGGAATGTGGGAATGGGAATGTGGGGATGGGAATGTGGGAATGGATGGGAATGTGGGAATGGGAATGAGGGGATGGGAATGAGGGGATGGGAATGTGGGAATGGGAATGTGGGAATGGGAATGAAGGGATGGGAATGTGGGGATGGGAATGTGGGGACGGGAATGTGGGGACGGGAATGTGGGAATGGGAATGTGGGAATGGGAATGTGGGAATGGGGGCATGCGAATGTGGGGATGGGAATGTGGGAATGGGAATTTGAGGGGATGGGAATGAGGGGATGGGAATGAGGGAATGGGAATGAGGGGATGGGAATGTGGGGATGGGAATGTGGGGATGGGAATGAGGGGATGGGAATGTGGGGATGGGAATGAGGGGATGGGAATGTGGGGATGGGAATGTGGGGATGGGAGTGTGGGGATGGGAATGTGGGGATGGGAATGAGGGGATGGGAATGAGGGAATGGGAATGAGGGGGTGGGAATGTGGGAATGGGAATGTGGTCATGGGAATGAGGGAATGGGAATGTGGGGATGGGAATGTGGGAATGGGAATGTGGGGATGGGAATGTGGGAATGGGAATGTGGGAATGGGAATGAGGGGATGGGAATGTGGGGATGGGAATGTGGGAATGTGGGGATGGGAATGAGGGGATGGGAATGTGGGGATGGGAATGAGGGGGTGGGAATGAGGGGATGGGAAAGAGGGGATGGGAATGTGGGGATGGGAATTTGAGGGGATGGGAATGTGGGGATGGGAATGAGGGGATGGGAATGAGGGGATGGGAATGTGGGGATGGGAATGTGGGAATGGGAATGTGGGGATGGGAATGAGGGAATGGGAATGTGGGGATGGGAATGTGGGGATGGGAATGTGGGAATGGGAATGTGGGGATGGGAATGTGGGAATGGGAATGTGGGGATGGGAATGGGAATGTGGGGATGGGAATGAGGAATGGGAATGTGGGGATGGGAATGTGGGGGTGGGAATGTGGGGATGGGAATGTGGGAATGGGAATGAGGAATGGGAATGTGGGGATGGGAATGTGGGAATGGGAATGTGGGGATGGGAATGAGGGAATGGGAATGTGGGGATGGGAATGTGGGGATGGGAATGTGGGGATGGGAATGTGGGGATGGGAATTGTGAGGGGATGGGAATGTGGGGATGGGAATGAGGAATGGGAATGTGGGGATAGGAATGTGGGGATGGGAATGAGGGGATGGGAATGAGGGGATGGGAATGTGAGGGGATGGGAATGAGAGGATGGGAATGTGAGAGGATGGGAATGAGGGGATGGGAATGAGGAATGGGAATGTGAGGGGATGGGAATGTGGGAATGGGAATGTGAGTGGATGAGAACGAGGGGATGGGAATGTGAGGGCATGGGAATATGAGGCAATGGGAATGTTGGGAGAGGGAATGTGAGGATGGGAATGAGGGGATGGAGGTGTGAGGGGGATTGAGGGGATGGAGTGTGACGGGATAGGGACTGT